GAGGAGGACGAGGGGTGCACGGCCCGGGGGCTGCGCACCGTGTCGTCCGAGAACTCTGTGTGCTCAGAGACGGGAGAGTCAGTTCTTTCTGGAATAAGGATTCTTCCCCGGCCCTCCACCAGGGAAAGGAGTGGCCCTGCTACCAGCTCCTGGAAAGAACTGAGTCCCATCTCCGAGCAGCCCATCTCAAGAGTGCCGCTTAACCCGGCGTATAGCGGGGGGCGGGGCTGGAGAGGGCTGTGGCGTCCCCCTGCGGCTTCCAGAGCCAGCCCGGGTGAACGGGCGGGGTGGGAGCCGCAGGAGGGCGCCTTCGGCGGTGGGCAGACCGAGGGATCTGCTCGGACGGCGGGGCCGTCGGGGCAGAATAAGCCTCAGTCTGCTCGTGGGCGGTTGAGAACTGTTGGGCAAAGCCCTCAACCGCACCGCCGAAGAGGCCGACCTGGGATATGGGGGTGTCAAGCAGAAGGGTCCGCCCGACATCCTGCACATCAGACAGGTTCAGCCACAGAATGGTGGACATCACCTGACCCAGGGAGCGTACAGCCACTTTCGTCGCTCGGAGAGCAAGGTCAGTGGCGGCGCGCAGCTCATTGAAGAGCCCTGGGTCAGTCCCGCCCTTGTGCATGTCCGTGAGCATCTGGGTCTGGTAGACCAGCAGAATGGCCATGGCATGCAGTGAGGCGGCTGCCTGTCCTCTAGCGCTATAGGAATTCGCCACAAGTGTAGACGAAAAACTACAGGCTTTGGACGGGTGCTTAGGATCGCGCCGAGAGGAAGCACTCTGAGTGAGTCATCCACAAACGCTGCTCTAGCGTGATCAAGCCCAAGCACGCAGAGCAGAGAATGTGCCCATCAAAATCGGAAATGAGTCGACCGCAACCAGAAATGCACGGGCGAGCCGTCTTTAAAAAGACGTGCCGCGTGCGAGCTTTTTTATGAGAGGAGAAAAAAACTCTGCGATGTTGAAGCGAGCAGGGAGAAACACACTCATTGGCAGATCACTGCACAGATCAGCAGGCAATGTGAACTCGCTGCAGATCGCCGTCACACCAACACCGGAGAGAGTGGCTCGTCTCGTAGAGTGAAGTCAGAAATGGCTGTGGAGTGAAGAGATACTCTTGGCTCCGAAGCGAAAACATGCCTATTTGCTGGAGCGTTCTCCTTAAATACCCACGAGGTGAGGCGGAGTTACGCTAGGCAAATTCCGCAGACCCATGGCATTTCTTTGCCATTGGCTCGTTTTTGTATACTCGAAGTCGATAGGCTTTCTAAGCGAAACCCCATTCGCCATCATCCGACGGAACTCGGAGTGACAACGAAAGGGAACTAAGGGCACTTACTTAGTTAAGCAATCCAAAAACAAAAATGGTAATTGCTATATTTTACCATAAAACCTTCCTTTGCTATTGGAAATTTTGTTAAGATGTATTTTTTTAAGATTAGCAACAGTACATTTTATTAACCTCTATAACTTGTCTGTAGCCCTTTAGCGTTCTACATAACCATCAGTAGCATAAGGATAAAAATATCAAGAATATCAACATTAACATAGATATGCAGATTTAACCATCTTAAACACAAGGATGAGTTAAAATGACTTTGTCAGGCAGCATGGTGCTTGAAGATGTTGAAGACGTGCTGGTCCTGTAGTTCAATTCCTGTAGTTCAATTCCTATGGGTTTTTAACACAGCAGGAGAGTCGACAAACAAATGTTAAGGACACAGAGTTTTTAACTGTACAAAAAGAGAAAAGATTTTTAAGCTGTGTTCAGACCTTTGAAATGTTAAATGAGCAGTCTGTTGGGCCTTTCATCTTTTCAAATGTAGTCTTATTTTGTTTTATACCCTTTTGTGATGTTGATATCCCACAACGTCAGTGAAAGCCATTGTACGAGAATGAAAAAGACTTGTACATCTCGGGGTGTGCGAGCCTCACGGCCTAAGCCTCTTCAGGGGATCCTTTTGGAATGAACGTGGATAATGGGAAGAGATCAGTTAATCCAACATCCATTACTTTTCCATAATCAATGATCAGTGCAGACGATGTAGAGATTTGAAAATAAATCCACTAAATTCTTTTAAATGAAGCTTGTAGCTTTTATTTTAAGCCTGGGAATGTTATGTGAGATGTAATCATTACCTACGTTAAACCTTCGAACAGTCAGTGTGGAGGAGAGTGAAAGAAGATACAGCTTTTTCTTCAGTAGATCATGAATCATAAGCAGGGTATCAAAATCTTTTACGAACAAAACAGCTGAAACAACCTCATGATGTAGTTGGTGACTAAGAGACCTCTGAGGCGTTTTAGGCTACTCATTTTTTGACAACTACCAGAATGTCAGACAGAATACACTGGTCATATTCCTGTTGTCTTCAGGCAAGATTTTAGACAGAAATATTATCGCTGAGGAGGGTATCACTATCATCAGCTGCTTTCCCAACCCGAGTCCTCCCACGTATCCAGCTCTCTGCCTTTAATGCTGCCAAGTGTAGGATATCCATTCTCAGCCTCCCCTTAAACATTGTGTTTGTTTAACCTGAGTAACATCTATTCTCTTCCTTGTCATTGCAGGCACTTTGTAGTCGATATGTGGAGCATGTTGATAAGACCAATCAGTGAGAAGTGAGGGGGCTCCGTCTCATTTGGCTGAGGAAGTACTTATAAACTGTCTGTGTGCAGATGCTGTATGCCTGGTAAGTTGACTATTGTTTATACTTACCTCTTACAAGTGTACAGAAAGCTTAGTGAAAAATAAGTAGACTGCCTTTACTTATATAGATAATAGCAGTAGTAATAGCCTAGTGTATATCAGATTATACAACAGTTTACTGTATCGTTTATGGTGTTCATCCACACCAATGCACAATAACGTTCTGTTAAATGCTCAAACTCAGTCAGGGGGATTCTGATTGGTTGTCAAAGTTCTCATCTTTCATCAGCTGGAAAAATCGTTCTGAAAGATATTCGAATGATATTGTTCATCTGTGTCATTTTCATTATTGATTCTCAAAGAATTAGAATGATTATTAAAACGTTATAGTTATTGTCCGTGGCATGAATGGGCCTTCAGTTCCGGTCTTCGAATTTGATTTGAATAATCATTCCAAGAAGGCTAATAAACATCCCAGCAGCCCTGGGACTTTGAAGTACTCCACTTGTCCATGTTTGCATGTTCCAGGTAGACAGACTGTCATTCTGTGCAAAAATGGTGTGAATTGTTCAACGAGTCTTTCTGTAGGTTTCATAGATACGCCAATAGGAGTGCATCATTCATTAAACTGATTTGTTCAGGATCAAAACAAGTGTGTGTCATTGAATCATTCACTCAAATGATTAGTTCAAACACTACTTTGACTTCCTGTGTAACTCTTTTAGTTGTCGCAGGCAGCAAGAATAGACAAAGTAACTGGCAATATTGTGTGTAAAATGTGAGTTACTAAATATTATCATCGACAATATTGCATTGTTGTAAAAATATCACACCCTCAATCATTCTGTCGGTCTGAATATCAGCGCGACCCATGGCCGAATCACAGCTGTGCTTCAAAACCACAGCACTCTTGATCGTGTGTTAATGAAATATTCTATTCAGCATGCTAGACACAATGTAATTATCCTTTTAATTTTTAATGAATCTCAATTAGCAGTAGTCCCACTCTTCTCATTATAGAGAACTTTGCTCTTCATTTAATAAAACACTCCATACGCTTTAGGAAGACATGAATTTGTGGCTTATCCTGTCTTCTCTAGTGAAAATCACACTCCGGAAGTCCCTCTTGAACACAGCACCTGGAAAATACAGCCATGTTTGCATAGCTTCTGTTTATTTTGGGTGTTCAACTGATTAGTATTATAGGAGTATAATGGATTCCAGCATTATTGGTGTTGTTTTGGCAGACACATTACACAGAGCCATTCTCATGTTGAGCTTATAACTGTGTGAGCCAGGGGCCACATTCCCAGAGTGCCTAGCGCCTGTTTGTGAATTCAGAGTGCAGCGAGCCTTGGCGTTTTCACCTGTTTTCTTGTAATCATTTTACCACTCACCCATTTCTTCATCCGTTTAATTCTTAGCAAATTATAGCTTTTTTAGGAAGTTAATTGTTCTGCAGTGATTTCAAGGACATTTGAAAACAAGACAATCAGTGATTCATTTAAAATTGAGTGAAATCTTTGTGGAAAATGATCAAGGATGTCTATAATACCCGGAGAAATCGATCCATATAGCATCTCAAAGGCAGTTGCATGTGCTGTGCTATAATGAAGTTATACTATACTATATGTTGCTTTTTAAAATTTTGTTAGAAAATGCTAATTATTTTAAAGTTAACATGAAACAGATGTTACGATAGTCTTTTCTTCCCTGTTGTGGCGTACGTACAGTATATCCAAGTGTTACGGCTTCTCGAACAAGAACAATGCAGGGCAGGACTTGATCTCATGTGAGTGACAGGCTGCCCTCACTCCAGCAAACAGATTAGTTTCCTTTAGACATTCTGTTGACTACAAGTAACATTGCACCTACAGGTATATATACAAATCTCATTAGATTATTAGTTGAGTATTAGTAGTCTGGTAGGGTTAGTAGAATACGTTGACATGTACTTGCAAAGTTACCTAACTCCAGTAGAATGTCTGTTGGAGGACCATCACAATAAAGTGTTAGCAGATATTAAGCAGACAGTCTACTAATACTCTTGCATAGTCAACAGAATGTCTAAAGAGGACCATCAAAATAAAGTGTTACCTAATGATGTGCATGGATAAATCATTTATAATAAATACTGCAATATTCCATTCAAAAAATGTAATTGTCCGTTTTGATTTCATGGTGACTTTAAACCGGTACGGTAGTTACAGCATCCCTAACATGTTAACCAGCCAAACCATGGCCCCTTTGAATAAAGTGCTCTATTGCTAATAATGAATAAAACTATTTGTATTCATGATTCACTTTAACTAATTTAATTTAGTCTCATGTAGGTAATTTTTTCTTCTTCTTTTTTTTTTTGCACCAAAAGCAGTGAAGATTGTGTTATGATTGAAGAGTCAATTAATGCAGTCTGACTGAAAATTCAGAGGTTTGACAGTGATACAATGACACCATCTGCTTGCAGAAGTGCACTTGCACTCTCTTATTCTCTGCCATTATGGTAACGCTACACACTTGGCAAGTCGACTGAGGGATTTGTTCTGGAAACCAAAGATAATTGCAGGGCTGTAGACAACAGCTTCCAACTGACAGACGTTTGTCAATGTAACTGTGCTTTCTCTAGGTCACTGCCAACATTGCTCGAGATGTGTTTCCACCCACAGTGTTTGAGCTGTCTTACTTGTATGTGATAATGTTCTTCTATTGGGAGGTGTCAGTGAAAAAGCATAGTGTAAAAGTGTACCAGAATTAGCGGTGTTTGGAATCCATGAAATATATTACTTCTCTCTATTTTCCTTCCCCAGCAGTGTTGCACTTCTCACTTCTATGGATCCCACAGCCCTTCAATAGAGCTGATCTCGACAGAACATCACTGCAGGGCACAGATGACCACTGCGTATCCATCTTGTGTAAGTCACTGTATGGACACACTTGGTTTGTGACAGATGGGAAAGGACGGCATTTTTCTCTATTAGAAATATACATGTATGTCTTTTGAGTGACACTAAGTTAAGACGCATGTTTTTATTGTCTTTTTCAGCTAAATGAAAGCTGAACAGTATCTTATGAGGCTGACCTCACTCCTGGATTGGTTCATTCAGACCACCGTAGAAGGTCCAAGAAGATACATTTCTTAAGCTGTATCACATCTAAAAATCCAGTTTGAATTCTTCAGAGATATGGTAATACAGTGTTAAGATTAACATAGCAACATAAGGCATGCCACATATTGTGGTGTAATATAAGGCTATGTTGATCCTAACATTGTTTTCAGGTTTAAATAACAGCTAAATCCTTTCTCATGCATAATGTTGTCCTGTAAGGTCTTGCATTTTTTGGTCATATATCCTCTTTTCGCTTAATCTTTTTATCCCACAGGACAAAAAAAGGACATAATTGGATTAAATGGCTGTTGAAGATGGAGTATATTTTGTCTACGCTATGTCACCTCAACGACAGCTAAATGGGAGGGTTTGACATGGTGCCTTAAATCTTGATAGATACTTGAAACTAAATACCTATAAATATCTGTATGCCACACAAACAGTTCTGCTTGTTTTGGGGTTCTAGAAGCAGCTTGTTTCTGTGCTTTCTGCCATTATGACATCTGTGAGCAGATGACTCCGTTTGCTCTGCGTATGTCACTTCTAGCAATGTCGAAATACTACTCATCAGAACCTGTGCTTTCAAAGCCGGAGGCTTCAGAAATTATTTAACAGTTAAAAAAAACATACAGTAAATGATTTTCACACAATGTCCAGCCCAAAACTCTTTAATGACAAACACATATTCTCATTAATGCTTTGAGTTCCTCCGCTGGATGTGTTTCTCCTTGCAATGAAAATTTCAAAACATCCAATCATGTTTTTCTGAGTGGCATTTTAACACCGTCTTAAGTGCCCTTGAGGTTATCAGCACAGCTCAGACAGAATTTTAAAATTCAATTTTCTTATGACTACGAATGAAACAATATCATTTTGAAGAATGGGGAAAGCAGAATCGTCTATAGGCTTAAGATTTGACATGCATTTCCACTGATGCAATAAAACTATAATTGTTTTTATAGTCGTATATAAACGCATCTTTTTTTATCCTTTTACTGCCGATTTCACTCAGCTGTTGTCAGCAAATCTAGCAGTTCTCTCTGTCATCATCTCTCTGTTATGTGCTGATGGAGAGAATAAAGTGATAAAAATGATTTTATTTCATTTCTTTTGATCACTTAGCAGACCGGGTAATCAGACTCTGTCACTCTGCCACCAATAATATGAACTCCTATGAACCACAAATAAATGAAAACTCTTCATGATAATGCTACAGTAAGAGGACATGTCCTATTAAAAAGTGAATTCTCTCATGTAATGTAATGCGTAGAAGTAACACTGATAAAATCCTGACCAGCAACAGTTTTTATACTTCACAGTACATAATAAAACTTTACAACACACCAATGTATGATGTCTTATGACGTCTTTATTTCAGTTCTATGGTACGTTTACACGACAACAATGTACTAAAAACGGAAACTTTTTGGCGTTTTTTTTCACATACAGACGACAACGTTGTCAAAATGATCACCCGTTCACACGGATCCTCGAAAACGTCTAAAAGCGCTGTATAATGCATGCCAGTCGTTGGCGATGTCACTTTGTAAAGAAACACTAAGCGCCTATAGGCTGAACATGTAATAAGCATGTCACAGTTTTCACAAATGTGCGGTTTTGTAGTTTACACGATAACGGTATAGTTTTAAAAAAACATGCACTTTGAAACCCAATTTGTTGTGCAAATTAACAGCCATACAATTTCCGTTTTTAGTTAAAAACGGTGTCGTGTTAATGGCCCCCTAGACGAGGGCTTTGGGCTGGGATCTTTACGCAACTGTTCCCATCATGCATTGTTCTGCTTAATAAAACACACCTGAACCCCATCAGGCTTTACAGGTTCACATGGAAATCACTGGCAGGTGTGCTGGAGCAAGATGTAAACTGCATGAAAGCAGATCCCAAGGCCTTATTTAATATTTGCAAATGCCTGTTTTCAGTACTTTCAATTTTGGATCAAAATTGTATCCAAGGGTGTAGACAAATTTAACAGATGTTTAAAATATACCCCTCATCCAAAGTTTAATATTAATAGTTTAGAAAATGTATGCTGGGTTTTGTGTGCCAATTTGTGTGAAACTTACATTCACACAGCCCTCTACTTTCAAAAATTATTGAAAGTGGAGTGAAATTCTGAATAGTGAAATGGTTAACATGCAAAAATATGGAAGAATACTATAGTAGACAATAACGGTTTACTTACATATAGGAATACAGAGAACGAGGCAAAGAACTGCTGGACTTAAAAAAAAATTTAAGCACTTCTGGAATAGTTTATTCATTGAAAATACTGAATAATTTTGCAATTAAAATTAGAAATCTTACGTTGGATCTATATTTTGAGGATCTACATCGTCTAGGAACAAATTTATACAAGCACCCAAGGACAGGGGAGCATGTATGAAGTGTAAGCTGGTCTGACAGGACTAGCTTTCTCACACAAATGCTTGCGAACACTGTGAGCTTGAGTGTGCCATCATTAAAGTGTGCAGCAGACCCTTGTGTGACTTTCTCTGACGGTTATAAATGATGTGCAGTGCAGTGCCAAGCACAAGCATGTCCCTTCATTAGGCAGCCAGGCCCACCGTCGACATAAGGGCCAGATGTCACAGGGGTTCTTTCCTGCACAAATCTGTCCCCAGCAGCAGAGATGCAGACAAACCGTCGAAGCCCCTGTCTTACGCCGCATATGAGGGCCGTTGCTGTGACAGTGAAGAAGCGTGTCTGATGTCTGGCATCTGGAGCTAACACATGGAAAAGGCTTTGAGAGGTGCTCTGTCAACTGCAATGTTCAGGGATTTTCATCATGTCTGGATTATTACTGCAAGGGGGGAAATCTGTGTCTGAATGTCTAGTTATATTGCAGTGCATATTCACTGTTTAAATGGCTCAGCTTTATATGCACTGCAGCCACCATTTTCCAGTGTATGATATCAACCCCATCACTATAGGAACCATTTCACTTATCATTTAAGTGAATAATGTCCCATTTAAAAGGGAACATATCACAGCGCAAAGCTCTTTACCTAGACAGATAAAAACACAAAAAATTGTGTTTTAAGAAATCATTATCCCACCACAACTTTAGGACATTACTAAAAAATAAAGATTCCAAAAGGGGGGTTTTGCAGTGATGCCACAGAAGATCCATATTTGGTTCACCAAAGAACATTCAGTGAACCGTTCTTAATAGAAATATTGTTTTTCTTAGTGTAAAGAACCTTTTTTCATTAATCTTTTGTGCAATGGAAAGGTTCCATTTTTGGTAAAGTTTCTTCATGGAACCATTGATGGTAATAAAGAGCCTTTTGTTTTTCGAGTGTATGACTGCTTACATTTACCAGCCAATCTTAACAAATGTCGTTTTCATGTGGTCTTAAAGGTGTAGGCCTACTCTTTAACTGCCTGTTGAAATCTGCACATGATGTCACCGCTTTCACAAATGTGGGTTTTTGTAGTTTACACGGAGATGACAACGGTATTGTTTTTTTTTTAAAAAATTAAACGCCGTTGTCATGCAAATTTACGGCCAACAAGCATACATTTTCCATTTTAGATCAAATTATCAAAGAAAGCAAATTTAAAGGAAAAGAAAAGCAGACGGAAAGTGCTAAATTAAATTACCACTGTTTTGTGGTGCAAGGAACCTTCACAGTTTTTCTGAATTGCTAAAACACTAAACTCCATTCTCTAAACCAAATTTTCAATAGCCTAAACCATTTTGTCGAATAAAACACTCTTTCAGTAAAACCTTAAACAAGTTCAGGCAGTTAGACACCATTTGCAAATCTCATGCACAAGTTTTGCAAAACTGTGATGGACCCAGCTCAAAGACGTGATGCTGAGGTATAAATCTCTCACTGAGTTTGATTTTGCAGTTGCACAACTCATTTAAATGTGTAATTAACATGCTTTTCATTTAGTTTTTTTTTTTAAACCTTTTTGGCTTTTGCAGTTGGACTACTGTATTTCTACAGTATACAAGTGCTGCATATACAGACATTAAGTAAAATACATTTACATTTATTCAATTAGCATCACATTTTTTTAAACAGTTTTTCTGAATTGCTAAAACACATTTCTTGACACCATCACTCACTTTCTCAAAACCTTAAACACAAAACCAAATCTTCAAACTACATTCAGAGAACCTCTGACTCTTCTGGCAAAATCAAACCCTTTCACCCGTCCCCAAAATCAAACAATGCTTTCAGATCTTACACACAGCGAGTCAATTTTATAAACTCTACATATCATTCGTTAGACACTACATCAAAAAATGGAGAACACAGAATCCAAAGCATGCAGTTAGAGAAAAAAGTATATTGTAACAAAGTAAACACATTTTGAAATTACTGTTTGTAAAAAATTATAGTAATGACAACTTACAGTAGTAAGGTAAATAAATGATATACTGTATGCACTGCAAGTATAGTATTGCACTGAATATTGTATAGTATTAAATGTCTGTATATTCAGCACTTGTATACTGTGAAAATACAGTGACCCAACTGCAAAAGCCAAAAAGGTTAGAGTAAAAAACTCTAAATGAATGTTACAGTGAAGTGAAGAGTTGTGCATCTGCAAAATCAAGGTCAGTGAGAGAGATTTTATCCTGCTTCAGCATCACGTCTTCATGTTGGGTCCGGCTGGAGGATTTGTCCACATCACAGACAATGTCGTCTCTGCGGGCAAAGAGAAAAACCCTAAAGCCAGATCCAGGCTTGACAACATTCTCCACACCTTGCTCTTTCTCATCCTCGTCCTCTTCCTCCTTGTTCACCACCTCTTATACACATACTCTTCCTCCTTTCCCTCCTGCTTCCATCCATTGTTGGTATCATCATTCAGTGCAACATTTTGAGTCAATTTTGGCACTCTGAACTGACTTGTATTATGTACAGTTGGTTAGATCACATCATTAGAAATAAGTGTGAACAATTTTGAGTCGTTTCTGGTAGGGATGGGATACTATACTATACACAATTTATTCACCTTACTACTGTAAGTAGCGATTACTATACTTTTTTTCCGTTATTGCAAAATTTGTTTACTGTGTTACAAAATAAAAAAAACATT